ATCCCTCCCCAGGAGGAGAAAAGGAGCCATGGTTGCACATAGGGGCAGCTCCCTGCCTCCCCATCCCTCCCTCTGCCCACAGGGCACCCCAAGACACACGGTGTTGGGTGGTCTCACTTGGTTATCACTGTTCATCCTTTTCACTTGTAGGGTGAAGTTTGGGTGAAGGAGCCTGCGGGCAGGGGAGAAGTCCTGCCTTTGGGGTGCAGTGCTATAAATGGCTATAAGAAGCCCCCTCACCGAGACCCTGTGGCCTCCTGGTTTGTGGTCCCAGACGCACATATTTTCTCTCATCTGATACCTTTTCTCTTTTTGGCCTGTTCCTCCAATTCAGAGCGATCTGTAAATTTGGTGAGCATGAAGGTTTTCAGTTTGGTCTCCTGGTCCAAGACACGCTCCCGCTCCTGCAGCTCGACATTGTACTGGACCGTGTCTTTGCTGTGCCTTTCGTTCATGGCTGAAATCCTTGCCAGGGCCTCCATCCTGCACACGGAGAGCAGTAGGTTACACCATGCTCTAAGGATTTGTATTCCTGGCCATTCCCATGCATCTCTGTGTCTGATCTAGGAAAGCCCCCGTGATGCTGTGCATGCTGCCTGGCTCTCACCCAGGTGCAGCCATGTTAGCCCAAGGCCAGCAGCAAGCTAAGACAGCTCTTGGTGGGGTTTCGTACATGGACAAAGCACCCAATCGTGGCCACCAGGCTCACTTTGAATGGAGCTGGCTGGCCCCTGCTCCAGGTCTGCTGCATCCCCACATGCAGGCTCAGGTGGGACTCAGAGGAAAGGGACTGCTCCATGGGGCAATTCCCCCCATCCCGAGAAACATCGGGGGAAGGTGGAGTAAATCACCCTGGAGGTACCAGTCTCCCTGCACTGAGCAGGCACCTAATCCCTAGCACCCTGCTCTAGACAAGAGTGATGGATCCTCTCTCTCAAGTTGCAATCGGTCCCTCTTTACTTTGACATTCATCACTGACATTGCCCATCGGTGCTGATTTTGCCACAGAGGGTTCACAAGGCCACGTACCGCTGCTCGTAGGCTTGTGAGGATTGCTCAATGGCGGTGTTCATCCTTCTCTTCTGCTGATCCAGTTTCTTATGGAGCTTCAAGTAGAAGTTGTCCAAAATAGCTTTCTGGATTCGCAGGTTTTCAATCTCTTCTCGGAGCTCGTTATTTCTGGTCAGGATGGTATCGAAACGGACAGTGACCTGGAGAGAGGGAAGCAAAAGGTTTGGAGCTGGTGTGGCACTGGGGGGCTCAGGTCTCTGCTGGAAGACCTTGACCAGGGCTGGGACAAACACAGCCCAAGAGATTTTAAGTTGGCCCTGCACTATTCTCCTCTCCGAGACTGGGGAGGCAACAGTGGGCCAAGCCGATCATGGCAGAGACCTGGAGTTGGCGTTGTCCAAGGTGAGGTGGCTTCAGGCAGCTCGGTTTTATTGCTAAACAGATGCACACCTTCAGGCTTCTTGGCATGGCACAAGTGCTGCATTTGGGTCGCCAAGCTTGAAGGAGCCTTTGAGATATTCTGGGAGCAATCAGGCCAGGGGAACAAGCCAGGTCCTTTATGAAGCTTATGTCAACCAAATGCATTTGCACCGTTACCTTCCGCCCTGACCAAAAAGTGTTTTGCACACAGGCCCCAGTGCTGGCCCCGCAGGTGGTCTCCAAAGGTCTGCAAAATATTTGCTTACATTGTTTAGACGCAGCTCCAGCGTCTCGATCCGCTTTTGCAGCCGCTTGTGACTGTTGGCTTGCTTCACCTTCACCACTCTCTGGTTTTGCTTCACCACCTTTTTTTCCAGCTCCAGTATCTGCACACACAGAAAGAAGAAAAAAAGAAGAAAGTATAATCTCCAGCCTTATGTTCTGGACTCTTGTCAGGACACTTAGCCAAAGAAAATACCCTCTGTTGACCTGAACTACAGCAACCATGTCATTAATGAGCTCACAGTTATAGAAGCAGCTTTAATCCCAAAGGATCCCCTCCTGCACATGCAGAAACATGAACTGTAACCAGGACGGGGTTTATTTTCATGTCGCAAAGGAAATGCTGCTGCCTCTGGAGGGAAATTCAGCAGGCGCTGAACAAGATGCAGCAGAGCTCTATGTAGAGTGGAAGAGGCAACGAGGATGGGGTTTTGGTGGCGGTATCGTGCTGGCCGGACAGGGATCTGTGCCGTCCTGCCTGGGAATGTGTGGAGGAAAACTTTTGCCAGCAGTGGGGAAGCTGCCAGAGGAAATAAATCCACGAGAAGAATGAAGTAGGTGGAGAAAAACGAAGCAGGGGAGCAGGTAGGAGAAGTATGGCCCAGCCAAGAGATCCCTGACTGAAAGCTGACCCTGTTGTGGAAAGCTCTGCAGCACCTCCAGCAATGGTGAACAGCCTGAGCGTGTTCCCTGACTTCTCTCGTGAGCGGCTTGTTCAGAGCAGAAAGCTGCAGGGACCCATCACTTCTGTAGCACTGGGTTTCCCTTGGCCTCCCACCTCACGTTGACCCAATCCAACCAGGCCGTTCTCAGGAGAAGTGATGGGACATCCCTCAGATGTTGCTGCTCCTCTATTTGCCATGTCTCAGGCAGCACAACTAGATGTTCCATTTTTGCCTCTTTTTCAGGAGGAAAAAAAAGTCAAGGGAAAAGCAGTGGGATGTTGTGTGACCCCCCCGGTAGGTGCGTGCCATCAACGAGGAGCTGCAAAGACCTGTGGGACAATGAGGTTGGGAGGCAGACCTTGCTTTTCTAGCCAGTGCTGCTGACTTGAACGGGACCCTGGCTCTCTCCATTTGTCATTGCCATGTGTCTTTTGCCAGGAAGCAGCGTTATATTCCAAGGCCTGAATTAAATGCACTTTACATCGAGGAATTTCAGCCATAGGGCTCACTCCGCGACTCTGCTCTACCATGCTCACCCAGGGAACAGTCCAGATGCTCTTACCTGGTTGTCCAGGTCAGCTAACAGGGCTTTTCTGTCTCTAATCAGAGAATCATACTGATATTTGGTCTGCAAAAGGCACTGGAGCTCCATACAGTTTCTGTCATCCAGCATCGCATTTCTCAGGGACGTGATCTGGCTCAGCGTTAATGACGCCTCTTTGTGTTGTTGCGACAGCGACTCGATTTCTTTTCTGTAAAAACACAACGACAAGTGACATTTAGCACACCCTGCCTGCAATGCCAGAGCAGGTCCTTACCCCTCCCCACCTCAGCGCTGGGGTCCCCAGGTCTCAGCATGGAGGAACTTCCCAAGCACAACGCAGCCGCGCGGAGCCGCACTCACTCCTGAGCCTGCTTTTGCTGCCTCACGTTGGCACCATAAGATTTCCTCTTCTCCGCTGCTATCCGAAACTGTTTCTGCAGTCTCCTGATCTCAGCCTCAGCCAGCTTTTCTTTATCCTTTGCAGGCAAGTCCGAAAGCTTCTGCCGCAAAGGCAGCCCTCCACGCTGCCACAGAGAGGGAGAGCTCGGTCACTTGAGCAAACACAACCAATGGTGGTAGACAACAGAGCTGGGCAACAGGGGAGCGGGTTCATGGCATCACCACCTCCAGCTCACTCTTTGTCACCACCTTCAGCTCTCCATGGCCACCTAAGACAGCCATTGCCACCTGAACCTCTGAGCCACACAAACCAACTACATGAGTGCTTCTGATCCGCTTCAGAGCAAAGTCGACTGGGTGCTTTGCTCTTGGGTGACCCACCCCATTGCTACCACCACTCTCCAGGGCAAGGAGGTGTTAACGGCAACCGAAATCAGTGCCTGTTGGCCACGGCAGCTGAGCCATGGCCAGCACCTTGATTCCAGGACAGGGTGCAGATGTCCAGCAGCAGGGAGGGCAGGGGACAGCAGGTTGTCACCTCTTTTAACACCTGGCATGACTGTGAGGACCACGTGAGTCAGAACCAAACCCACCCATGCTGGGGACGCATGTGAACCCAGCTGCCTGTGCCCAGGAGCGCAGCAGAAGGGCTCATGTCCCCGGCTGGGGCAAGGTGACTTCTGGCTGAGAAACTGCCTAACAGGTAAGCACTGAGGCTGGGGCAGCTCGATCCACCACTACCTGTATCCTCAGCTGACCCATGTTCCCCAACCCTGCCTCCCCCAACACCCAAATCTCAGCCCATGGCCTCATCCCAGCACAGGAGGGCAGCAGAATCAGTCCCACCGCAGCCCAACACCTTGCTGGCAAAAGAACCCCTGGTTCCCCACCGCCTGTCCGGCTTACCGTGCTGCGGCATTTATTTCTGCAAGATATTACTTATCCCCATGGCAGATCCTCCATAGCACCCACGGAGAAGTTCGCCTTCGGATTGTGCTCCGGTTTTTACCTTTGGACCCCTCATTTCTTCCAGCTAACTCTGACGGTCGCTCTGCGGACGCTTCGGGAAGGGGATGAGGGAGCCTCCGCGGGGGCCAGACCTGCTTTCCAAGGGGAGAAATGAAACCCGGCTAAGGGGGCGGTTGTGTCCCCCTGCCCGTCCCTCCGCACCCGCTCGCGTGTTTGGCACATGAGGAAACCATCACAGATGGCTGCGCGATGAATAAAAGGAGAGCATTTGTAGTGATGTCATCGCAAAACACGCTCCTCTTATCGAGTTTATAAGTAGGGGAGGAACAGATGGTTTGAGCTATTCCACCCTGTTCGGTACCTGGGTTTCCATAGAAATCCCAGTGAGGCCAGGCCCCCCCGTGCTGGCGGGCAGAGCCCCCGGGGAGCGTGAGCAAGGGGACATCGCCTGGATCCATCCCCCATCCTGCTGCAGCCAGGGAGGGCACTGGGGCTCACCCTGCAGCCCTCACCCCCAAAGCTGGTCCCCCTCAGCCCCGCTGCAGCCACCCAGGCTCCCCTGTCCCCCCCAACGCTGCTCACCCCGTCACGGGTGCTGTGGTTCCTCTCCAGCCAGGGGACGGGACCACGACGGCAGCAGTGGGGTGTTCCCGAGGAGCAGCCCCTACGTCCAGGGGGATGCGCAGGGGAGAGGAGAGCCCGGCAGGTCCCGCTCCTGTCCTGCACCCCACACTGTCCCAGGCTCTGTGGAACAGGCACTGGCTCGGTTGCCACGACAGCGTCATCACGCTGGCGCGTGGACAGGTCCCCATGGGGACGGTCACCAAGGAGGATGGCGTGACCGGGGAGCACGCCCCATGGGGAGTGCTGGCACTCCATGTTACACCAACCAAAGGGGCTTCCATGCCCCAAACCCAGCCCTGAAGCACAGGCTCTGATGCTTCCCTAGCTGCCTGACCACAGCAAGCAGAAACCCTCACTTTTCCAGTTCTTGCTTCCCTTTGGAGTATTTGAATCGTCCCATAACCTGTGACTTTGAAGCCTTTCGCTCCAACTGGAAAGCAGCTCCCAGGGCTTTGCCGTCCCCAGCAGCGCTTCAGGGCCATGCCCTCTCCTTCCTTGCTGGCCCCTGGGCTTCCTACCTGGTTCCTATCCGTTTTACTCATGGGGAGGCAGCAATCACCACATCACTGCCATTGCCCACGGCATCCAGACACCCTCGAGGTGCCCCGCCGTCAGGAGAGCAGCAATGGTTGGCACTGCCAACCTGGGGAAGGGCCCTGGGGACAGAGACTGTTTAGGCGGCCAATATAGGGAACAAACTGAGGATTCGTGGCTGCTTCTCTCCTTTGGGTGCAGGGAAGCACAGGGGAGCCGTGGGGTGAGTCACAAGAGCCGTGATAATCCTTTCCTCATAAGCTGGAGCGCGTGGCCGGCTCCTTCCCAGGGACTCAGCAAACCCTGAGATCCCTGGAGGGCAGAAGCACGAGACAGGGCTGTGTTGTGTAGCCCTGGTGTTGCTTACTCAGCGCGGGGATGAAGGGGAACAGAGAAGCGCTGAAGGTGAGCAAAGGGCATCCGCATCCCAGTTTGCAGGGCTGCGGCAAGTTCAAGGCAATGAGTAAAATCCCCAACTGGCACATCGCTCTTGAGGCTGCGCCTCCCCATTATCCTGGAGACTTTGATGAGCTAACGAGCCAGCCATCAAGTTCCAGGCTAATTCACAGCCAGATAGGCTCTGAGGATGCATTTAATTGGAAATGGCTTTCACGGCAGAAAGCAGAATGCGGCGTTAGATAAGAAAAAGCGCAACCGAGGGCAGAGCGATGCTGGGAAGGCACCAGAGCCTCAGGGTCCCGCCGGGGCCAGGGGAAGCTCCTGGAGCTTTTCATGCTGTTCCTCCACGATCGACAGCTCCGTGGCGTAAAAACAACAGCCTCTCCAGGGATGAGGTCACTCCGTCTCGGCAGCCCTGGCTGGGTCGTACTGCAAATCCCTTCTCTCCGGTTTGCTCCTCTTCACCCTCGGCAGAAATAAGGCCAAACCTCCAGTTCAGAATAAAGGCAGAGCTGCGGGAGTGGACGTAGTTTTTCCAGACAGAATGCCACTGCGTGGCCCAAAGCCTGGTTTCTGTTGGCTTGGACTAGTCCAGCCTCCAAATACAGCCCACATTGTCTGTCCTTTTTGTGTTCCTTCTCCATGGACCAATTCTCAATTGCTGAGCGACGAACAAGTCAGTAAATTAAACTATGGAGGAGGGATCTGATTTGGTAGGGTCTGTGGCTGTCACACTCATTGCAGGCACATTTCTTTTACTGAAGGGGACTGTTTGCACCCAACCAATGCTCGACGGCCAGCCTTGCTCTGAGTGAGGGGGACTTCGTCGTCGGGATGGACCTTTAAGCTGTGGCTGGGCAGAACGGCAATTGGAGCAGGGTGAAATCGTCTGTAACATCCGAATCCAACGAATTCCATCTTCTGGGAGAAACAGAAGAAAAGTGACTTTCTGTGCAATTTTCATCTTAACCCGTCTTCCCTGATTTAATAGGTACATTTAGCACTGATTGACATGGAGAAATTATTCCTTCAGCTGAAGATTTGGGGTCTAATTAAAACTACCTGTACTACTTTAAGGGCCAAATTCTGATCCGTGCAAGCAGCGTAAATCCTTCCTGCTTTCAGCAATGATTTCCCTCTTTCAGCGGGTCCGGTTAAATGGTGGCTGCAGGGGATGGTCAGAGCCGGGCTGGCTCTCATCCGAGCTCACCTACCTGGGAGCGTCCCATCGACGTCAAAGAAAATCTCTGGGCTAAGGGAGAGAATCAGGCCCGTATTTTCATGCAAATGTAATACATTCATGTTACTTAATGCCTATTTATAACAAATGCAGAACTTAATTCTACTTAACCCGTCTTCGGTGTTTGACACATGAAATCTGTGAGTCAGAGGACTATATATGGAACTGTCAAAACTTTCTTTTTTCCCTCCTCTAAAAGCCTGGATTAAATTATAATCAAACTCCCGTCAGCTCCAGCAGCAGGGCTGGGAGGAGCGGGAAGGTGCTGACAACTGCCGAGGCAGCTGGTGATGGGGAAAGCTCGTCTCAGCCAGCAGGCCGATGGCAAACCCTTGCAGAAGAGGTCCTGGATTCGGATACACACTAGGTTCATCTTTGCTGAAATGTCTCCCTGTGGACCTGGAGTGATACCTTGGCCTCACGGCATCAACTCACCAAGACTTTGCTTGGCAATGGCCTCCCATGAGCACATTCTCTACCCAGGTTTTTATTTCTTTCCTCCGATGAGTTGTTACCTTCATATGTGTGTGAACCATACCAGCCTTCAATGGGCAAGACCAGTTTGGGTCCTAAAAGCGCTGCAAACACATTGGGAGTTGCAGACCTGCAGCCTTTTGCAACTGGCCTGAGTTTTGCTCTGTGTGTTTCTTACAGAAAAGGTTTCTTTCAAAATACACGCCGTCTAGCCCTCAAACGCCGAGCTGTTCCCTCCCTGCATGATATCACTTCTTCTTGCCTGCTCTTCCTCGGCACGCACCCTTCCAGGAGAGAAGGCTCTCGCGCCCAGCATCTGAAACACCCCTGCAAACTTCTGATGCTATTTTCCTTATTTAACACTTAAAATCTCAACAAAAAGAGAGCCAAATCGGCCAGGCACTCTACGAGCACGCAGCGGGACATCCCTCTCACGCTGAAAATTTATGGTGCAAAAATAAGAAGTGCATGTCCATCATTAGAGACAACGAAATAGCACAAAAGGAGCTGGTTTTCACCTCTGGGTATGTTTTTTCTTGACAGCCTGCAAGCAGAGCAGCGATGGCCCGTAGGTAGCAGGATGGGGCAGAGACGTCTCGGTACGGGCACATGGCGTCGGGTTTTAAGAGTATTTGGCGTTAAGTAAGGGGAGAGGGGGCTGTCCGCTGCCTCCTCAATCACAGCGCGGAGGAATTACAGCTGTAATTCCTCTTCACTCACAGAGGAAATGGTCGTTAGAATTTCCTGCAGATGGGTTTCTTCGGAATTGCTGACACCGCGTGAAATGGGATTTCCAGCAGTGAACTGACTCCTTCATGGCATTGCTTGGTATTTTTAAAAGGGTCATTTTAGGAGCAAGTTCCCCAGGTCTTGACTTCGGGATAGCAAAACTCTTTTCCGCTGCAGGCTCAGCCCCTCCAGCGGAGCCTAATAGCATGGATTTGCTTCATCCCTCTGTGTTAACTTCCCGACGCCTTTGACTGCAGCAGGTACACCGTGTCGAATTACTGCTCAAAGGCTGCCGCCGCGGGTGGGAAAATGCAGAAGCAAAATAGCTGAGGACATGCTGCTGTCTGAAAGCAAGAAAAGACCTCCGAAAATTTCACTGGCCTGAGGTCAAACCTGGCTCGTAGCAAGCACTCATGCACCACGGGAAGCTTTTAGCTAAAGCAAGAAAAGAGAAGAGAGGACTCAAGGACAGAGCCATCGCAGAAGCTGCAGTCACAGCGGGGTCTTGCCTGACCAGGAACGGGGTTCTCGGTGCAGAGACTTTTTTTTTTTTTGCCTGCGATTTAGGCAAAGCTGCAGAAGGGAACGCTCTTAGCGGGGCTGCTGATCCCTCACGCAGTTTTGGAGGGGCGCAGCCATTTTACAGCATAAAACCCAAGCAGGAGGCAGCCTTGCTCAGGAGTGGGATGTGCAATGCAATAGCTCCAAAGGTCCGACGGGGCGCTTGGCTAGGGATAAGCCAAGCTAAGAAATTCCTACTGTGACCTCCCAGGTCCCCGTTCTCCCCCAGGGAAGTCTGTTGGCAGATCTGGACGCCGTGATGGAAACCCTGTGTGCCAGATCGAGCTGGAGAGCACCGGGAAGAGGGGCAGGACGGTGATTTGTGGCTGAGAAAGCAGCACATCGTGGGGGGAGTCCCTTCCCCGTGCCCCCCAGGGGCTCCCCATCAGCTCTGGGCAGAGTTGGGCAGCACGGGGGACTGCGGCAGGCACCGCCTCGCTTAAAAGAGTTATTTCCAATGAATCATTCCTGATTACCATCCCGTGCAATGCTCTTGATCAGGACTAAGAACACCTTATTAGTTGAACACACTCTGGAAGTGGCTTAAGGCAACTGAGGATTTGCCTATATAAGATCACTCAGGGAAACTCTTTTGAATTAACATTTAAAGGCAATTAATTAAACTGCTCTACAGGTGTTCTGCACCATCTGCATTCAGTTTATCTTCCTTTACTTCTCTTTTCCAAATCAAATGAATCATAGAATCATAAAATCATAGAATGTTTTGGGTTGGAAGGGACCCCTAGAGGTCACCCAGCCCAACCCCCCTGCAGGAGCAGGGACACCTTGAACCACATCAGGTTGCTCACAGCCCCGTCCAACCTGGCCTGGAATGTTCCCAGGGATGGGGCCTCCACCCCCTCTCTGGGCAACCCCTGCCAGGGTTT